TTAAAATCCATTGGACAGCCTCTTGACGAGCAGTCACAATATCAGGAAGATCATAAAATCTTGAAACAACCTTAGATTCCAGCATTTGACCAACCTCTGAATCGAACATATTAATTAAAGAATCATCATCATAGTCCATGAAGGAATGTGAAGATGCAAAAGTAACGCTTCCACAATCATCATCATCATCAGCTTCCAAGGAGACAATTTCGCTTGCTGCTTCATTGCAGTACAAATTGGGAAGAGTTGGAAGGTTAAGGGACAGAGCCATTGAATTTTTGTTTGTGGTGGTGAACTGATAGAAACTAAAATATGATTGTTTCTTCACTCTCTTTTCAAGTAATAGTTTAGGAAATTTATGCAGTGGAAGAAAGCTGTCGGATTCCTAGCTACTTATATTCAGTTCTTTCGTGAATTCTAAACTTTAAAGCCTAAAAGAATGTTATCATTTTGCCAGAGTCATGTGGGTCCATTCTCTTGTCTTGCTGGTATGGGAGGATCTATGGGGACCCTCGTGGGAATTCTGCATGAAACTTCGTTTGGAGTTGATCCAAATGCAGTAGGGCCAATGCCTGGTCCCAGAATTTGTGACAGACCAAAGGTTACTTTGTTTTCACTATTTGCACCGTATCCCATTACTGATTTCATAACACTCTCTTTCAGATGCTTCTCTGCAAGAGCTTTCTTCAATTCTTGACGCTCTTCTATCTTTATCTCAATCATTGTACTTCTTCGGTTTCGAGAATCCAGGGAGGAAATGAAGGTACAAGGTTCTCTTTTTTGCAGAAAGAGAGGAATCAACAGAAGGGAGAGACGGGTGGAGAGTAAGCAACCATTCAAGATAACAGCTCAAATTATTGCATACATTAGCTCCACATGCTTTTCCCCAGGAGACAAACTAAAGAGTCCAAAGCTATGAATTTTGATACAATGTTTTAGGGAAAAAAAGAGGCAATGATGTTAGCTGCACTGCTCAAGGATATAAAATTGGCAAAGATGCTGCTAACTAATGACCAAGTCAATTTTTACATCATCCTCACCATGGCTGGTTTTATTCTGAAGTAAATGAATAAAGAAACGTCAACAAAGATTTGAAAAGATAATTACAGAATCTTGTAGGTATATTTATGCAAACCCTAAACCCTTAAACTTGAAACCTATTAATTACAGAGCTTAGTTTTGGGCTCTGCATTTTTATCTGCAAATAAGTGAAGAATCTTGCAGATTAATATGGCAGTCATTTAACTGTATACTAATTTTGAGGAATAAGGAGGCTCTGCATTCTTCATTTTTATCCTAGCTATCAAGAAGAGTAGAAATAAAGTTCATTACTGGAATAGTCTTCATAGAAGAATAGTAGTACTCAAGAAACATAATACCTGGCCTCAAAGTTGTACCATTTTATGAACATACTGATAATTTTTCCTTATTAAAGATAGATGGTTTGATACAAACAACGAATGAGATATTTAGATACAAGTTCAAATAACAACATAAAAATTAAAAACGGGAATTTATAAAATTCGAATTAAAGCATCTAAAAAATATTATCTTCCTACTAATATCTCTAGGTTTGGATTATGAAAAAAAAAGTGTTTATGCATGTGCATGTGAGAACAAGTGTTTGAAAATATTGGAGCAAAACCCTGTACCTCCTTTTTTTTTTTTGGTCTTTTGAGGGACCATTAATTTGTTTTATGGAAGTTAGTTGAAGTTTTCATCAATATGTATGGCCAGGCCATTCTGAGTAAATTCCAAATGGAATGGCATGGTAGGAGCTAGTTTTAGTGCTTGTCCTTGATTGGCTGGTCATTTGGTACCTTTTCTGCAGGGAAATCCCATTGATTAATTTGCAGAACTTTGGCCATTTTTGTTTCTTGTAAAAAAAGTAAAAATTAAAAAGGATTTGGTTTTCTGTGCTTAATTATTCCATGAGTTTGTTTTTTATATAAACATAAAACAACATACATATTATAATGAATCAAGCCCAACTCTGGAGCTAATCACTTGTTTTTTTGATAATAACTCGGACTAATCACTTAATTTGCAATTTGTACTTACTTTTCATTTTTGTTAGAATAAAAAAGGTGAAAGAGAAGGCAGGAACGGATGAGAGTTAGAGAATTGGGCTCCAAATCAATCGAGCTGGGTCCATGCCCTTGGTTTGGGCCCAAAAACAAGTTGGCTTTCTTGAAATATTCCCCCCTCATTAGGAACTAAACGGGTATCAAAGCCCACAATTCTGGATCCCATATCAAATCTGACTTAAAATTCTTAATTTGAATTTGAACTTAAAATGATCTAAAACTCAAATTTGAATTTAAATAATTAAATGTAAAATAATCCCAAACTTAAATTAAGCATAATTTTCCATTCTTTTTTATGTTTAAAATTTTTATTCTAAGTAAAAATAATGAGTAATAATAAAAATTATTATCAAAAGTGACTTAAATTGAATTATTTTATAAAAAATTTAATAACTCATAAATGTATATATATTCTACGCTACATTCAATAATTATTTTTTCTATTCTAGATGAAATAATATTTTGCATTTGATCTTATTTTATTTCAAAATATTTTTTAAAAAAATAGATAATAGATAATAAAAAAAGTTTGTATAAGAATAATGAACAAGAAAAAAGGGGAATTCGTAAGCAATCAATAGACTTTCTTAAGGGTGAGAAACTAACCCAATTGAAAATGAATTTGAAGCAACTTGCTAGAGTTTCTATCGTGAATTTCACATGACCTGGCTCTGAGGTGATTCATGCTTAGCGGAAGGAAGGGCGGCGGCGGTGGAAATGTTTGCATCGGCAATTATTAATCAGGCGGCGGCAGTTAATGGGTGGCGTGGTGCCTGGTGGTGGAAACCAGTTATCAGCTGCAGAATTCATTGCTTTTGGGGAGTGGCTTCTTACCCTCCGAACACACACACGCGTTTGACTGGCATTTCAAAATCAAAGATCGATGGAGATAGCATTGACTTGGATAAATCAATTTTAGGGGATTTTTTTAATTGGATGAAAAGCAGACAAATTAATGCATTATGCATGGGATTGTTAGCCAGCCTAACTCTCTTATCTTGATGAATACCTATTGGAGAACTATATTTTGTCTGCTCTTTCATTTCCTAATTACAACTTCAATCTCACATTAATCATTTGAAAAAAAAAAAAACTAATCAAGTATATATATCAATATATATAAAAGAAAATCCGTTGATTTAATCGTCTTCTATTTCATTAATCTTATCATATTCATCCCATAATTTAAATTCGAAACTTTGTGAATGAAATCTCAAGTTTTGACACATAAACATCAATTTTATTACAAAGTCTTTTTTCTATATATAGTTTCTTCAAAGCTAAAAAAGAGAAGAACTAAAGAAATGGTAGCCTTAATTATTTTAGTTTCTTTTTCTTTTTTGATATACAAGGAATCGTATAACTCAAAGCAATAGTAGGAACAAAAGGAAGGTTGTAGTTGATTGCAAGAAACTTGGGTTAGTAGTGAGAGAAGTGAAATAGGGGCGCATGAAGCATATTTCTCCAGTTTTAAGTATTCATGTTCCTACAATGCCATATCTCAGCAGCAATGCATGGAGTAAATTTTGTCTTGCACAGTTTTGGGCTTATATATTCAGCATGCTAGGAAATAAATCCATACCATCAATAACTTTGAGGTGAAATAATCAGTTGACGTGTAGCTAATTCTTTTTGACCACTAGGATATGAAAAAAACGTCACATTTAGTAGAAAAATTAAAGGCATGAGAAAATGAGAGGGTCATTATTATTCCCAATTAAAATAAAAATAATTAAGGTGGCAGCTAACTTAGTAGGTAAAGATCGTGATTGCAGAGAAAATACATAAAATTAAATATGGGGTCTTAGTAGAAGAAGGAGGTTTTTGGAAAGGAGAGGTAGCTTAATTAGTAAATATCTAGTACTAATTGAGAAATAGAGGAAGAGTTAGACAGCATAATAACATACATTGGTGAGAAAAAGACGTATGTATCTGGATGTGTAGCTTAGCTTCTGAGGAGAGAGAATGGGAGAGAATGATTAAGGCCCAAAATGGGAAAAAGAAAGAAAAGGTGAAAGACTTTAAAAGTGTTCAAATGAGGTGAAAATAAGGCAAGCAAAATTGAGAGGTGAAGAAGATGTTGAGCTTTCCATAGCCCATTGGTATTTATTGGGAATCTTCTGCAATAATTTCACATTCCAATTTCAAGTATCACCAGATCTTTGCCGTAACATTTTCATTTTCCTTTTCGGGACATTGATGTAGATATTTTCTTAATCTACTCCTTCTTTCCACTTATATATATAGTTTCTAAAATAAGTTAAAAAATAACGGAAAAATGAGAAGCGATTAAAATAGTGATATGGGTATATACTTATGTATGGTTATACAATAAATCATAGTAATTCTCGTATCATCAAATGATCTGATGAGTTGTATTACATTCAAAGTGAATTTAACATACGTAAATACTAAACTTTTAAAATACATTGCTGAAAATGAACAAGTAAAGATGTAAAGAGGTAAAAAAACATGGTTACCCTTCTCCTTACCGGGGGTTTTAGTAAAGCGGAAGAAGCAACAATTAGTGGGGAGGATAAGGAATTGAGAACCCAAACCAAAGTGGCCAAACCCAAGGCCAGCCTAGGGTTCCTGTTTGAAGGGGGAACGGGGGGGGCCCTGGGCGGTCCTTTTCCATTTAAAACAGTATCAACTAGCCTTTTGCATCAGCTGACGATGGTCTCATTCAATTGGGAAGATCCCTGTTTACTCTAAAAGGTCCTACTCTCTTTCCCATCTTTGCCTGTAGACGCAACCCAGGTGGTTTTTGCAGATCTAACACGTCTCCCGCTTTGCCCCGTAACAACACCAGAAAATAAAAATCAATATTCCAACTGTTTTAGCATTTACGCTTCGCCCTTTTCATCATTTATCAGCTTGTTTGCTGATATAAGCATCAAAGACCAAACCCGCCCCCACCTCCCCACCCCTCATCTCCTCCCCTTAATTTCCTTTCATCATTTCTCTGAACTACCACTTCCTTTTAATTCTTGTTTCTCCTTCAAGCCAATCCCCTTTTCTTTGCTTTTCCCATGGCGTAAACTTATCTGGGTTATTTACATCACCTTAACGTGGTTAACGTCAGAAGTGGTATTAATTTTTCAACACCGAAGTGTTCCATAAAACGTACGTTCATTGTGTTTTTTAAAGTGTAGTAAAGGTTTGCTGTAAAGGGTTCTTTTATTTTTTCTCTTTGTTGAAGTTAAAGATGGGAAACTGTCAAGCAGCTGAAGCAGCAACCGTGGTGATTCAACATCCAGGGAACAAGATCGAGAGGATTTACTGGTCTGTTAGTGCTAATGAAGTCATGAGTACAAATCCAGGCCATTACGTTGCACTTGTGGTAACCTCACCAACGTTAAAGAATGAAAATGGCATGCCATTGAAGCAGCTCAAGCTCTTAAAACCTGATGACACTTTGATAATGGGCCAAGTTTATCGACTCATTAGCTTTGAAGGTAATTCATTAGCACTTAATTTTTACGTGTATAGTTAGTTCGCCAAGCCATTTTCTTTCTTATATTTTCTTGGCGGTTTCTTTCATAGATGTTTTGAAAGAGTTTGCCGCAAAGAAGTCCGTGAAGCTTGGGAAATTGTTGAAAGAAAGAGGCCTTGGGCTCGGGATGGACTTGAAGAGAAAGGATTTGGCAGCTGCTTCCAATCTGAATCCAAAGCTTAACTCGAAAACTGAGAACTGCAGTTCTGTTAAGGTAAACGAAACAAAGCTCAAAACATCAAGACTGAACTACTTCTGTTAAAGTTTCCTCTAAATTAGCAAAACTTGTCAGAAAGGATGAGCTAAGTTTCTGGAATAAATAAATATGTGACTATTAGGTGTATTAATTTGGGTCTCGAATTTCAATAAACGTAAACTACAGTGACTAATTAGTGCTTGACGATGCACTGGAATCATGGGCATTAAGCTCCACGTCTTTTCTGTTCTGCAGAGGGGAAGGACAGGGGTATCTTTCTTTGTCATTTCGATGCAGAAAAGTAAACTTTTATGGTGTAAAAAAGAAATATAAATTAAAAAGTGGAGGTGAAAATCTGCATCTGCAAGTGTTTGTAGGATCTTTTTTTCTTTATGGTTTCTTTATGGGTTGGTAAGTTCAAAACGTTATCGTCTGAACTCTGAGTACCTTGGAAGAATCTGAACTTTGTTTAAACAACAGATCTCGAGGCATACCTCTGAAAATAAGTTTCTTAACATTGAACACATTTTTATAATGTTGAAAAATCTTCTTTGACAAATTGTTTAGGTGTCCTTTTTTTCGGCCTTTTACTGTTGGACTGAACCTGATCATTGCTCACTACCAATCTTGCTTCTTTCAGTAACCATTTGAAATAATGGCAGATTAATCTTTTTATCCCTTTGTTTGTTTTGGCTGAGTCACAACTTCCACCAACTGGGCTGGTTACATTTCCAGATGCCTTTCCCCTGTGGTAAATGTGGTTATAAATGCTAGTCCTTCACATGTTTAGACCACATGCGAAGTCAGGGTGATTTCATCTGTTGGTTTCTATTGTTACTGTTTGTACTTAAGATTCATTAGTTTGTGCGGCTACAGCAAATTTGTAAATGGATATAGCAGAGTGAGAATAAGAAAAAGTTTATCACCTGAATCATTTACAGTTTGAAATTATGTCAATATGGACTCACCAAAACATACATAGGATAATGTTCAAGATGAGTGTGTGCGGAATTGGATGCGAGAGGTGAAAAGATGTGTATCCTCTTATTGTAGCAGAGCTTACAATTAATGGTTATTTTGAAGGAGAAAAAAAGGAAAATAATGCTATGATGATGTATATTGCTAATAAGTGTCATCAATGATCACCATTCATCACGCATTTCATGCACATGTCGTGATGTTTTACATACATGTGAAGACAATTGTTAGTATTGATTATGAATTCATACTTTCTGAATAAGCTAGAGCTTTTTAGTGGGAAATATCTAAATTTTTGTTAACATGAAATGACTCTATACTTTGTTTGTATGCATTTAGTGGTGGATGTGTGCACGTGTGTGCCTTTCAAAATTGTAGACAGTAGGTGGTTGATAGTTGTCTATGAGAATTTAGTCCAATAAATTGGCTTCTTCCTAGTAATGGAGGGTTAAGGGAAGCTCCCAATTGAATGGATAAGGTTAATGAACAGAGTCCAAATTTAGTGGAAGCCTTGGTTTCAAATTGGCAGAGCCCACAAACTTTTTCACAAATCAATAATGGCGCCAAAAAAAAAAGTTTATGGAATTGTCATTGTCTCATGGTGCCTTTGCCTTTGTCCTTTTCTTTTTTCTTTTAATCTTTTTTCCTTTCGTTCTCCTATCTTTTGCAGGTGGAGCAGGAGGTTAATAGACTGGGAAGCAGCGGTGGCAGCAGCGGCAGCAGTAGGTTCATGGGAAGGCATCATGGTGGTGGTGGTGGGGGGCAATGGAGGCCAGCCTTGCAGAGCATTGCAGAGATTGGAACTTGAACGCACTAGCTACTCCTCTTACCAGGACTGCTCCCCCGTCATTCCCTCCTCCACCACCCCACCCCCACCAATAAAAAGCAAACAACTACATAACCCATCCTTTCTCCCTTTCCAATACGTTTATATTCTCTTTTTCTTTGGTTCTCTGCAGATGCTACAATGTTCTATATTTTGAGTATTAGTTTCCACTAGATTTAGAGGCTAGGGTTTGTGTTAGGTGTAAAACCATTTGGACACTCAGATCATAAATGTAATGAGCATTTCTTATCAGTGTTTTCTTTTCTTTTCTTTTGTATATTTTAGTCTACATGACAAGAGATAAGCGATAATTATAGCAACTTCAACTTTCAGTGGAATCTTTGATCATACAAAAGCCACTGATCATTTCATACATAGTTCTTTGCTCAAGTCAAGAGTTCATTACTTTGTAACAAGAAACAAAGGGCCAGACTCTAAAAACCAATATCATTTTAACTTTTACATGCTGTTTTCTCATTTAATCTCATGTTTTTGGCACTGGGTGGTAGTGGAGGGGCCAAAAGGAAGAGAGAAGACAAAATGCAAATGTGATGGTCCGAAGCTTTTCAGTGGGGGCTGCCAAACAGTGGCACTAGTGTTATGTTTGTTTGCCGGGGAAAGTATGATCTAGTAAAGCAACTGTGTCAAAATTGCTTCGGTATTACTCTCAAAATACTTGAAAAGGAAAAAGGAAGCTGTCCCTCTCCCTCTCTCTCTGCCAGACGTGGCTGCTTTCAAGTACAGTTTGCAAATTGAGAAAGAGAGAGGGGGGACTGGGGAGTGTCTCATTTTTAGTGCAAAGAAACATTCTGCATGTGGTTGCAATGCTTTTACTTCAATTCCATAATTTATACGTTAAATTTAAACTTAACTTTTAATCATCCGCTTAAGGAGTAGTAATTGATACGTTAAATTAGAATTATTCATCTCTAAATTTTAGTATAATTTTGATATTATTAATAGAATGACGCACACGATCAAAAACCCCTTTCCTTTTTATCAAGATACAAAGTTCATATTCAATCTACAATTTATACCGGGTGCGAAAATGGACATGTCATGACAAGATTTGAAAATAGTTAAAAGAGAAAGATACAGTAAATAATTAAGTGAAGAAAAGGATATTAAAATAATGCTGTTGATTACATGCATGAATCCATCGTACCATTTGCCAAAAACAAAAACAAAAAAAAAAAAAAGGGAAAAAAATCATAGCATGAAGGAGTGGTAAAACGAGTGGAGATTTTACAGTAGAATCCACCAACAAGTGGTAGTGGGATCCCCACTTGGATGGCCTTTTAAAATTTTTTTAATTAAAAACCGTACAATGTTGTTTTGTTTGATAGTTTGAAACTTTGAATAATTTTATCAATCATAAAACTGGCTTTTCCCTTTCTTTTGGTTACATTCTCCCCTTTAATGGATCTCAGGATATGTTTTTTGTCCACCAAATTTCGTTTTTTGGGGGTTGCATTTACCAGTAGGATTTGCTTTTCACTAGTTTTTATGCCCTGTCAAGAATATTGATATTGGTCGGCTTGTTCATTACCACGTGTGCGTTGCTTTGCTTTTGCTTTACAGCCCTATACTGTATTTAGATTCTGGAGTTAGCAGCTGCAGCTGGGATATTAATTGAATGGCTGTGCTATTGACAAGTGGAAGAAATCAATTGGCAATTCCTCTGACAAATCGACAATTCAACTTTCTAATTATTTGACAGTTGAACATTCTTCATTCATGATTTTGTAAACTCCTCCAAGGACGGAATGTCTTCCAAGTTTAAGCCTAATCTGAAGGTAGCTCAAGTCTTACGGTATCATATTCTGCCATTTACTGGGCAGTTTTGAATGAAAACTAGTGCAGTGGAAGCCTCCAATTTGCTTGGTGGAAAATAATAACCTGCCGCAATCAATACTTTACCGTAGGAGACGATGGCATTAATTAGCTTTTTCGACACAGTTTTCTTTTATCGATTCCTTCTCAACAATTTCAACCGGAAATCCTAATCTTCGCTGCTGATGTATCGCATAATTTTAGAAGTTTTATCTACTTTTCCCCATGTTGAACAAGATACTATCAAGAAATCTCTTCAAATTGATCACCACGCAACCAGGATTCACTAATCATAAACTGATGAATGCAAGAATAACCCACAAGATGAGAAAATTGATTGCTATTAAGTACTACAGACAAAGCAAAGAAGATTTTGGACTCAAATAAAAACAAATTTGGGGGTTAACAAGTTACATTCTTACATTAGCAAAAGCTACAATATCAGAAACCCTCACTGATGAGATGACCCAGATGCATCGGCAGATGGCCCTGGAACCGGAGGTGCAGAACCTGATGAAGAAGGCACTGGTGGCGCGCTTGTTGAAGGTCCACTCACAGGAGGTGGAGGCCTTGGTGGCCCAGAATGCTGATATTGCTGTGTTGCTGGTGGAGCCTGAGGTGGAGGCATTGCCGGATGATATGGATACTGCTGATAAGGTGGCATTGGTTGCATGTACCCATACGGTGGATAAAGCTGAGTAGGATATTGCTCAGGCGGTGGTGGCATAGCTTGATAGGGATAATGTTGCCCTTGTTGTGGTTTTTCTGATCCAGATTTGCTCTCCCCATCATGGGATGGAACCAGGGCACCCATCCTTTGAGGATCCATTGATGGATAGAAGGCTCTATCCAGCTGAGGTGGAGGTGGGATATTAAAATACTGCATAGGTGGGGGTTGGTCCTGCACGCCAGGCCCAGATGGCTGAAATTGGTTCTGCTGCTGAGATATTACAGCCCGGGGCAACATTCCACCATGAGCCACTGCAACCTGCTGCGTGCCTCCCTCTGAGGTTTCTGACTCGGGTCTTGGTGCCTGGGGCTTACCCCACATAAGCTTCAGCCTGAGACCCTTTATGACTAGCTTGTTAGAGAGCTCTTCTGCAGCCTTCTCAGCTCCTTCTCTGGTTGTGTAAGTTACAAAGGCACATGCTTTGTCAAGCACCATCTTTATCGTTTCGATTTCACCATGGGCATAAAAGTTGTCCCTTAAATCTTGCTCTGTAACCCTTTTATCAAGGCCGCCCACGTAAAGGGTTTTAATGCTCTCATCCTCAGGAGGTTCCAAAGAAGGCATTTCACCAGCCTTGTTGAGTAGCTTTAGTGCCACAGGATCATTCACCCTGCAGATATTTAGGAGAAAAGTAGCAGCAAAATGTAATCACAATATTAGAAATTTTCGTGCATAAACATCTATCTGCTTAGGTAAGAAATAGGTTTGTCGCCATAAATGTTAAGTTTGTCAATGTATTGTAGCATTATCATTCATACAGACAAACATTAAAATGCTAAAAATATAAAAATACATATAAAGACAGAGTAGTTAATGGGGATGAACACACCCCACAACCTCCCCCTCCCCACTCAAACACATTTGATAATTCACACAGATGCACACACAATTGGGAGAGAGAAAGAACATGTGTTGTTGAAAGACAGAAAAATGACGTTCATGACATGACCACTCTTAACTCTGACCAAATAAGAAGCACTCTTTAAGGATTAATACCTAATTACCACTTGAATGAAGTATCTTCCAATCAATACTAATCTTTGAGCACATTTACCAAGTAAAAGAAATGAAGAAATCATGAAAACATTTTCAAACAGAGAGTGATGTGAAGCTATAAGTAGTATTAATCACTAATTACAAGCTACTCCTAACTGAGAAGAAAAGGCACTGTTCAATGCTCATAATAAGATGGCCAGCCCCTTTTGTCTTATATGATAAGCCTTTTTGTTTACCTACGTATTACTTCTTTAGTAGCCTTTTTGTTTACCTATATCATCAATGCAGTAAATATTACCATGCTTAGGACAAAGTTCCACTCAATTTTTCATAGTTAAAGAAATATTAACAAAAATTGCACTTACCCATAGTAACGGTCTTTTATATTTTGCTGTGACAACTCCCCAGTTACTGGCATCTCATGCCTATAAGGGCACTCAGCACCTCTTGTACATTCACCCCGAACGTAGAAACTACAAATATGTGCTCGGTTTCTTTTGTAGTATGGTGTTGTTCTCTGAAGCTTCAGAATAGTGTCATTTGGCCGTACCTTCCCATATGAGGATTCGTAATCTAAACCAGCTCTGGCCTGGAAACAATAAATTTACTTAATGCATGATAGAAATGCAAAGAATCTTTACAGCAAGTTTGCAATGTCAATAGCTTCAGCGATTCCAATGATAACTAGACGCTTGAATAGTAAAAGTAAACAGTTCACTCATAAGTTGCTTGTAAAATTTCTTAAAAGGTGCACTTTAAATAGCGTCGCTTTCTTCATAAATGATACTAAAAGACAGTTGCTAAGTATGAAGATACATACCCTGCGATCATGCTCCTCGGCAAAATACTCTCTATTCACATCACTCTTTGGAATGGCATCATTGGAATTTATACTAAGAGCAGTATCCCGAACTTGAACTGGCAACCCATATTCAAGGTCTAGAAGGCAGACTTGACAAACATTTTTCAACTTACTGCAGGTCTGACAAACCTCAGTTTTCTTATACCTTGCATCTCGACCAGGCCTCCACCTAAAGACTGTAAATGGTCTTGTACAAATCTTGCACTCCTTATCATAATCTGCTTTGGTCTGCAGTGCGAAGTGTACAGAAACTCATGAGAGTAATACAAGAAACTGTCATCATTGAAGGAACAAAACAAAATTAAATCTATAGGAATTACACCATTGTCTAAACCACTTTATCTTCATAAACTTTCTTGCTGCTTGTGACGATGCAGGATTTGTGAACCAATGTTATAGCAAAATGAAAATGTTGCCCTTTGTCTAGAAACAACATGCATAAGTTGGGAAATTTTCAAACATGTTCATTTAGTATTACCAATGCCAATATGGCAGTGTAAACATCTTATATGCCATATAGTGCATATTAATTTTGAAAAAATCTATTTTATTTTTAACTAAGGTAATAGAAGTCACAGAATTGGAAGCATCAAAAAGAAAATAAAATAACCATCCAAAGTCTTCCTAGGAAAAAAATTGCAAGAGACACACACAATCAAATGACCTGACCGCTTAGACTCAAATTTAATTACCTGTGTCCAACCATCCACAATTTCCTTGGAAAACTTTTTGGTTTTCTTATTTTAGATTGAGGCCCAACCAAATTTTAGAAAGTTTTTCTGTAGTTCATAACTCTGTTCACATCCTCATACATAAATACATAATAATTAACATTTATGCAGATATGCCTAGAAGCAAAACCAAAAACCATAATAAAAGTTAAAATCTATAGCAAAACTATATAATATTTCCATACATTTCAAACTTACAATACAGTTAGGGTAAACATGGCTTTACAATTCCCATATAAAAATATAATTTCAAATTCCACACAAACAGCAGTGGGAGAGTGTGTGTCTGTGCGAGAGAGAGTGAGGAAGTATTAAAGGGATCAGAATAAATACCATTCGAACATATGGATTGTCACCAAGGCATGACTCACAAATGATAGGGAAGTCGGAGCGTTCCCAACCATCTGCCTCGTGATCTCTTAACAATCTGTGTGCCATTATAAACTTTGCACTAGGTCGTGTAGCTATTCACAGCCTCCGATTTGCACTCTATACTTAGTTCCTAATGCAAGTGAATTACAAGAATGCTATATCAAAATCTGATCAACTGAATTCGCTGCCGTTATGGAAACCATCAAAACTAATTTAAGTAACAAACGAAAGAGAAACACAGGACCTTTAGCAGATCTTTTTTACTATACCATTTATTATTATAAAAAATTTTAAAATTCATTCAATTACTATTAACCTACCAAAATCAGATAAAAAAAATCATATCAAACTATTCCAATAAAGTTCCAAAAATTTTAGTTCATTTTTCCGTTCATTCCTATACACCTGATTAAATTAAAATCATTTAATTGATGTAGACCAAATACAATAAGAAAATCACGCAAAAAGAAATAGGGAAAACAGTTTAAAAGAAGAACAAAAGTTGAAAGAGGAAGAGCAGAATGTACCTGAACCGCGACGAATACGGTGAAATCGACGGTAGCGGACCCAGCGGTTCAAACTCAACGGTGGGAGCGATCGGTAGGTCGAAGCGAGAGCTTTCGCGAGCCGCCTTGAAGAAGGGATAGGAGATTTGCTTTGGCTCTGATTTTTGCCATTTTTTTTTCCAGTTTAATATGTTTCGAAATTGCATTTTTGGGCTCAAAGTGGGCCCAGTATAAGTCCAACCCTAAACCGTCATTGGAAGGTCGGTGGATCTTCTTCCTCCAGCCCAAATGTATAAAAAAAACCTCCGGAAATAGCAGAAATACCCTCCTTATAAACTTGAATTTTCGAAAACCGAGTCTCCCAACCCCGGAAAAACAATGGGTACCGGGAAACGGGTCCGGAGCTCCGCTTGGCTTCTCTGTCTCATCTTCTTCGCTTTTTCAACTTTTTCCTCCATTGCCTTATCCGACGAACCTTCTTTGGGTAATTCTTCTCCCTTCTTTTTCTTCTCTTTTTGTATGTTTATGTTACCGCTCTACACTCTAAAGCTTAGGGTTTTCTTTTGCCATTTAGCAATTAGAGAGTTAAATTTTGATGGTTTTAAGAAAATTTGGACGAAATTAATAAAAAAGGAATTGTTCAAGTATCTTGTCAATTTAGTTAGTTTGATTTTTTTTAATTTATCACAATTTTGTTAAATTGCTCATAATAATGACTTATTAATGGAAAAATGTTAAATTTTGATTAATTGTTTGCGGTTTTTGTTTGTTTTTGCAGTTGTTGGGGAGTTTAACAAGACATTGGAGTTAACCCCTGGCTTGCAAGTGGAGAAGTCTCCTGGTTTAAAGCCAGGAACTAGAGTTGTTTGTGCAAGAGTTCACATTGATGGTCTGTCTAGGTTTAGGAATCTCAAGAAGTTTGCTCACTCGGTAAAGGTGAAGGTTTCACAAAGTAATTCCAGCACACGCAGAACGAATGTTGAAGTTTGCTTTCACAGGTAAGTTGTTTGGCATAAATACTTTGTTGAATTAAGCTTTAATGTCTAGTATTTTTGCTTTTGTGCAATATCAACTTAGAAGGATTCTTTGGGTTGAAAACTAACAAAATTTGAACTGTAATTCTAATTGTGAAGCAATTTTTGCTTTATGACTGCTATCTTTGTTTTCCAGGAATGCTTCACTTAGGATAGGGATGTGCCCTCAAGCCAACTGGGAGAAGGTTTCTAAGGGTACATGGGTTAAATCCATGTCCCCTTTTGACCACAAGCTCTTAGATGTTCGGATGACCAGTTCATCTCTAGAGACCCTGGAGGTGTCCATTGAAGAAGGTACGTTTGTGATCACTTCTATCCCTGTTGCTTTATGTCTGACAATTGAAACTTGTTCATCTACACTGTTCTTTTTGTCTTTGCAGAATTTTTCCTGTATCGCGTAATATTTTTAATATCGGGCATTGTGTTGTTGAGTTCGGCATCTACTTTAAGCCAGTCATTGGTTTTTTACTATGGCAGTGCCATGGCAGTTGGGGTCATCCTCGTGGTATTGATAGTCCTGTTTCAGGTAAATAACATTATTGATAAATTACTCGAAACTTCTTCAAGTTCTCTGGCTGATGCCGTCTGTTGTGCTATCAATTTCTGATTTGCTTAATATTCTTATGTTCGATAGGGAATGAAGCTTCTCCCAACTGGTCGGAAAAACTCACTTGCAATTTTTATATATTCATCTACGGTGGGTATAAACTGTACAACTGAGGTGTCCTTTTTCTAGTTGCTTTTCTGTTAATGTGTGTATGTGCATTTGCATTGCATGCATATGCAAGTATGCCTGTGTTCTCTTTAAATTCTTCTCACACATAATTTGTTCATTGTTTAGGTTGGTTTGGGATCTATGCTTCTCCACTATTTGCCACGATTGTTGCATTCAATACTTTCAGAGATGGGAATCAGTGAAGACATGTATAATCCTGTATGTAAGTTATCCTGTAAATATTTTGGTCACATGCTTCATGGCTCTCTATGATGCAGAGCATAACCTCTAGAATGTTTCAGCTATTGTTGTTATCAAATACTATGCTCATGTCGGATGAGACATTGTGAATTTGATTGAGTAACAAGTGAACCATGAATGATGGAACTTGGTAGCTGACTCAACAGATTTCTTTGATGTTGCCTGTCAAACCTAAACTATCATTCATATGATATTATTGCTTAAAGTGAGTTGGTAAAATCAAGTGTAGAATTGGTCGTATTGTGTTCTGTTACGGATTCGTTTATATTGAATTCTTCCTGTCTCTGACACTTTTATGGTTTTCTGATTTCTTCATTTTTATATTAAAAATTCTACTTATGCTCTATTTATAACATGCTTCCCACCTCCCAGATTAGAATAGGCTTTCTTGCTTCGTTTTAACTTGGAATTGATTGCTGTTCAATGTTACATGTCACAGTATTATATGTGGTTTAGTGGTTTAAACTTGTATCATTGTATGTAGTAACTGGTGATAAGCTTTGCAAATTATTTCCTTGTAATAAACTGAACTGCTTTCTATATCTAAATTTCAGTTGGCTATATTTCTGTTGGGTTTTGTTGTTCTGGCTGGAGCTTGGTTGGGCTTCTGGGTTGTCCGCAAACTTGTCCTGACAGAAGATGGGTCAATTGACATAAGCACATCTCAGTTTGTTGCTTGGTCCATCCGGATATTGGCTCTCATTATGATCCTTCAGGTTTTTACACTTACCCAATCTCTGAAAATTTCTTGTATTCAATAAAAGTCTCCCTCACCAATGGTTAATTATAGTTTCAGTCTTTGTTTAAAATGTAATTAACTTTTATGTTTGCAGAGTTCTGTGGATCCCCTCCTTGTAGCAGTGGCATTATTATCTGGACTACTGCTCTCACCAGTCTTGCGTAAAATCACTAGATTGAGATTCCTACGTCGTATGTACAAGTATGTTTTCTTTTTCTTTTCATTACCTTCGCGAGGCTCAATCATTTGTATCATTATAAAATTCTGCTTGGATTCATCTTTTATATATACTTGTTCCTTTTATATTGCCATTAGATGTCTTTGCATAACATTATGTGGACTACTTCTGCAGGAAGCTGTTCAAATTAGTCAAAAACATTGGAAGAAATACTCAACTTCCTGATTTATCACCAGATCGATATTCTTATGATGAATATATATACAAAAGGCCTAAAGACTCTAATTTCCTTAAGCGGCAGTCCAAACACTTTCCCCTGGCTTCTTGCAATACTTCTGTACAAGGTTTGGCTGATATCTTTGATCCTTCTATTACTAAACAGATTAAGAAAGCTTGGTCTTTTGTCCATTGACCATGTTGGAAAGTCTCTTATGTATTCTTGGGTGTGACTCCTTCAGGTATTACCAAGTCATCTCCTAGTCAGCTGTCAGAATCAGACTCTTACCTTTCCACCTTTCACAACACCCCAGAGAGGAGGCAATTTTTGAAAAGTGAGTGGGAGAAGTTCACAAGAGAAACCACTAAAAAGGCTGTTGAAGAACTTGTTTCTTCACCCGATTTCAGCAAATGGGCAATCGCCAATGCTGAGAGGATCACTGTAACACCTAGCAAAAGTTCTGCTAGCAGTTCTGCCCGTCGTCGCCGGTGGTTCCTTTGGTCTTAAGTCGCTAAATATCCATTGTATATTCAAGGCACTGCAGTTGAAAGATTCTGGCAAATTCAAAACTAACAGTCGGCATTGCAGGTTTGTTTAGCCCATGTTTTGGGATGAATGAGAATGGTTCCAATACTGTACTATATACAGTATAATTCATGTGCAAAGTTTTCTGTTAGATCTAGGGACTAACAATGTATTATTTTCGTAAAAACTCAAGAAATACTTATCTGATACAATAACTCTCTCTCTTTCAAGTCATTAGGTGGATGTAGCTCAATACGCGAGTATTGACGTTAGGTGGGGAGCCTTGTCGTTGTTGTTATGAACTTGTAGATTTCGATGTTTGCCATTTCAAACAATGTCGAATTGAGTTCAAGGCATTTTATCCGAAGTTGCATTTTAAACAATTATATCATAAAAACATAAAGAGGAGCAAAGCCATGAATGAGACACGGTCCTATCGATCAAAACTTTAGAAGCTTTTAATCAGGCTTTATTCGTAGCCAAAAGCCTTTGTAGTTCCAAAAGAGAAAAGGGGGAGACTCTTGACTAAATTAGCAGAGAACGCCGTTTCATGTTATGTAAGTTTGACTAGAGCAGGAGTGGGGGGCCCCTCTCTTTTTCGAATTCAGAAATCGGCTTCACAAATTAGACAAGCGAGCGTAGAGCTGGGATGGATAAACGGGGTCAGTTGGAGCAAAGTTTCAAACTCAGTTGATTATTGATTTAAAAAGTTGAAACCCAATTAGTTCAAAGTCAAAAAAGTGCCCCTCAAATAAAGATAAAAAATCACTTCAAATGTTCATATATTATCAATAACTTAAATATTACTACTGTATTAATTAATAAATTTAAAAGATTTTTAAATGTTTTATTTCTATATATTTATAAAGCGATACTTAGTAACTAAGCTATTTATAAATTTATAAAACTGATCGTTCTATAATTAAGTAATAATATATAAATATTATACATTAATCGTATATTAAATATAAACTTAATATTTTAATATAATTATTTTGGATATAAAATGAGTGTAATGAACCAAGCTAATATGTGGTTGATAAGTAATAAGTTTTATGACATTAAAGGAACTATAATTATGTTTTTTAAAGTCAAAATATACTTTTTGTTTTTCGATTTCATTAATAAGGTACCAACTATATTAAACACAATTTTTGATATAATATTTTCTATCTCTTTGTTCATTTAATTACATTCACATTAAAAAAATGGAAAAGAAACTTTTCAAATCGCTTTAAATACTAATAAACATCATTAAGTAAACTAGTACAAGAAAAAGAAAAGCCAATTTATTTTTGTGTTTCAACAAAAATCCAAACGAATATTGAATTATTAAAGCTAAAGAGAGAAATATGATGCATAAAAATTTGAAATATACAGTCAAACTGGCAAAATGTGAATTTCACTTTCACATCAAATCATGCAACGGACGGATAATCTTTACCGAATCGATCGTGATGTAAAATGCATATGCCTTGAAAAGGCATTTTAATTTTTGAAATGCTCCAATGTTCCCTCTGCTCCGCTGGACTGCAAAACAATAAATAATTGCCTCAAAAATAATTGGAAAATATTTTCATAATTTTCTTTCTTTCTTTTTTTTATAATAAAGGAGGCTTGGCTTGATTTGAAGCGGCTACCTGGATAGGCGGTTCCACTCTAGAATTGGAATAAAAGTAAAACGAAGTTTTAGGTGCAACTGGAAACCACGTTTCAAATATTCGTTGAACTGTGAAAGATTCCATCCCCTTTACTTAATGGGTTCGATCTTTATCTTTTCTTCATCATTAAAAGCTGGAAAAGCCGTGTTTGTAGTGGTACCCTGAAGAGTGAAGAGTCGGTTTGGCATCTCTAGTCATCATAAACTTCTTTCAGGCTTCCTCAGGCTTACGCTTTTACCGAGTTGTCAGTTACCTCTAAGATCATCCCCGATCCTCAGAGAGAAGTCCAGGGTTGGTTTTGTTGTTTTGATCGGAGTCTTTCTTTTTCTTTGATCAGAAGAAAAAAATAACGGTCTTGAAACCAAGAAATCTGTTGAGAAAGAAAAGACTTTGAAGAAGGAAAAAGAGCGAAGATGAGTTACTACAATCAGCAGCAGCCTCCCGTTGGCGTTCCTCCTCCTCAAGGCATGTATTTAACTCTGATTTTGATAGGGTTCTTGGTTTTTGGTTTTCTTTTGGAAGGTTGAAAACCATTCTAGCAAGGTTTCTTATCTGATGGGGCTTTTGGTTAATGTTGTTATCATTATTATGGATTTGCAGGGTATCCTCCAAAGGATGCATATCCACCGCCAGGGTACCCAGTTGAAGCTTACCCCTACCCGCCTCCACAGTACGCAGCACCTCCGCCAAGGCAGCAGCAGCAGGAAACAGGTTTTCTTGAAGGATGGTAAAGATTCTTCTCTTTCTCTTCTACATCTTTCAAGAAACCATTCAAACTAGTATTGTTAATAATTCCATTTGGTTCCATCGCAAAAAACAAAACAAAACAAAATCATGTTCGGTTCACACAATATATCTGCATAGAGACTATTTGATTATATATACGATGATGAGGAGGGACTGTGGTTTTCCAGGAATCCAGGGCATTGTGATGGTGGCCTTTGTCTAAATCTAAACACAATCTTTTTTTATTCAACTGAAATATATGTGGATCTTGATTTTTTATTTGGTTTGAGAATTCTGTTCCTTTTCAAAATATATAATCTAAAATATTTGAATAGTTAAAAGTTAAATCAAAGGGTAAGAGGTTTTGATCATTTTCCCTCAATGAGCCCTGGTTTCCTGCATCAGGGTTTCAGTCTTTTGCTCCATGCAAACGGCTATCAATTAGTTCTCAGCATCACTGTCACGAATGTCGACGGATGTGCTGACGTTGTCAAGCCTTGCTGTTTAAGGCTAAATTGAAACTCATTCATACTTGTTAGGGAACCAGGGAAAACAACCTTCTTTCAGATTGAATCGGTTTCTCATAAGTTTAGTGTTTTAGAGATTTGTGGCAAAAGCCAAATTGAGTGAGCATGCGTTTTTGACATGATCTTGTGTTGTTTATGCAGCTTAGCAGCGCTGTGCTGTTGTTGCCTTCTGGATGCTTGTTTCTAAGGAGAATGAAGAGATGGGCTTGGTCATTTGTCCATTTTTAAGTAGATTCAATTAAGGGTACTTTTATCCCATGTCTATGGATTTTATTTATTTGGTTTTTTTAATGTATAACTTGAAGATTTATTCTACTTACCTCTGTCAGAACATCTCAGTTTCTTATTCAATTTCGTGATTCCTTTTGTTATTCATGAATGGATTTTGACCATTTTTACATGCATCAGATGGTAATGTGAAGAACAAATCCGGAATGTAATTCATTTCGTTTCTTTATTTCCAAAGAAGAATAAAGTTTTTATATTTTAATCAATCCAGAAAAATTAATTTTCTGCATATCATACCTTGTAAGTTCTCTGACCCCATTAGTGGGGAAGGAAAAACAGTAAAAACATCATCAAGAATAAAGCCTAAATTGACTATAAAATCAGCTAAATGGTTGCTCTCCTTACAAACATGTCGTATAGTCACCTCCCATTGTTGTTCCATCAAACCATGAATTGCGTTAATCAAATCCGAATTCCGACATGGATGGTAACTGGTGGAGGTAATGGCCCGAGCTACCAATTGACTATCCACTTGTATGATAATCATAGGAAAACGCAATTCCCTTGCAAACATTAAACCCCTGTAAGCACCCCAGAGTTCAGCTCTTTATGCAGTACAAACACCTAACCGAACAGTGTAACCCCTATGCCGAATCCTCAGCTGAATCACGCAAAATGCCACCAGCAGTTGCTTGCCCAAGAGAATCTCTATATGCACCATCCGAATTCAGCACAATCCAATTGCCAGAGGGAGGAGACCAACCTATAAGAACTTCCTCACGTCCGCTAGAAGATGAAACAAGAGTACCCCAATAACAAAATATCTATTTTTTTTATAAAAAATTAAAGTTTATTAAAGGTTGGAAACTCAACTCAAACTTGCATTTAGATTGAAACAATTCATCCATACTTTATTCTTCATTTTATTTATGAATTTCAGCCAAAAAATGATATAAATAACAAACTATCGAAACATTATCACAAAATCATTTGCATATTTCTTAAACATATTCTATTTAATATAATAAAATATGCTAATTTCCTTAAAAAAAATGCTAATTTCATAATTCCATACTGATTTTCATTTTCATGTATAAATAAGTAGAACACATTTGTCCATTTTTGCTTTCTCTCAAAGTTGCTGTCATCTCCCTAATATCAATGGGTAAGCTTATTTTTTAAAACTGGAGCTCAAGCTTGCCCAATTGCCTAGTTTAAGTTGGGCTGACTTAACTTGGGCCTGACCCACTCCATAAAAGATTATTATTTTCTTCAGAGCAGAGCAATTAGCTGCCAGAGGAACGAGGAATCAAACGTTGCCAACGAAGGGATAAAAAGGATTTTGTTTTTACTCAACAACTCCCGCCAGTGGTCACAAAGTATGAAATTCTGTTCTAGAAAACTTATTCGGTCAATGTAGTTGTAATTTATCAATACGAGTATATATTTGATATACTGTTGCTCCATAAGTTTTATATATTATTTATAAATTAAATACTGTTAAATTATTTATAAATAAATTTAAAATTTTGATATTTTTAAAAATAAATATTCATAATTTTAAAAATATTTATTTTAAAAATTTTTTGAACATTTTCCTTTATATATTTATAAAGTAATATTTTATAATTAAATGATAATATATAAATATAGCTTACCGTGTATCAAATATAAATTCATGTTATGATTAGGTTTTTGTTTTTTTTTTAATTTTTTTTCTCATAAACTTTATGATTTTGTAATGCAAAGAATAAAGATAATATAGTCAAATTGAACTTAAAATTTGGCAAAAAATTATGCAGCAATCCTTTTTTGAAAAGTAAGATCTTTGATTCCTCGTCAATTTGGAGCATGGCCATGATTCATGAATGATGAGAGAAACGTTGACGACTTTAAAACTTTAAACCTGGAATTTAGAATTCAATCTTTCCTTAATTTAAAAAAATCATATAATAAAAAAATATAAAAATAAAAAAATAATTAATAAATATAATTAACATATTATACCGTAACAACATCGTGAGTCCAAAACATTTTGAATATCTTAGATTTGTGTCAGATGATATGATTACCAAACTAAAAGCAAAGTGATGAAGGGAAAAGCATTTAATCAAACATACCTTAACCAAACAAACACAACAATCGGGTTGTTTTGCTGAAAATTATCCGAACCAAAAAGGGTAAGAATTCCAATTCTATTAAACAAGAACATTCCTAGATGCTCTAAGGAATCTTTGTTGAAATAATTGAGAATAATGCTCTTATTCTTTTGTCCGTGATCGACCAATATTGTCCTTTCCTCATTGGTACTCGTTTTCTTTAGATGTCTGGTTTCAGGGAAAGGAGGCGTCTTCTGACTGAAATGAGGGACCCCGTTGTTCCGTAGCTTTTGTTAATTTGAAGTCTGTTGCAGCACAACGCAATGCCATTATCAGTGGTCCAAACTTGAACTTTTTTTTTATTCCATCCTCACATTTTGCAAACATTTTAAATCAACTCGATTCATTTTGACTTGTTTCATGGAAAATCTTTTACCTATAATTTTTACACTATACGTTAAATGGTAAAAAAAAAATCAAATGATAATTATCAAATAATAAAAAAATAACACTTTCGAAACAGAAATTTATAATAATACACAAAAAGCTAGAATTATATATCAAAATATGATATAAAATATTAAGAACGATATAATAAGAAAATAATTGAAAGAAGAATTTTGAGAATAATTGAGAAAAGCCTTTTGGTTCATTTGTCAGAAAGAAGAACTTTTGATTTATTTCTCACTATTTCTGATTATTATTTATTATAATTTCTTCATCGAATATAAAACCCTATTTATATGATTACATAGATGTCGAGGTTATATAGGATTAATGAAGATATTGATAAACCATCATAAATATATACCTTGATACGAATGGAATTTGAAGTGTTGGAAAATTCAATAGACACATTTATTTATTCATAATACTTTCTCTTGAATGTCCATTGTATCTAAAATTATATATCAAAACATGATATAAAATACAAAGAAATATATACTAAGAAAATAATTGAGAGAAGAATTGAGAAAAACCTTCTAGTTCATTTCTCATGAAAGAAGAACTTCAGGTTCATTTCTCACTATTTTTTATTATTATGGATTGTAATTTTTTCATCAAGTACAAAGCCCTATTCATAGGGTTATATAAATGTAGGGGTTACATAGTATTAATGAAGATATTGATGACCATTATAAATATATACATTAATTATGAATGGAACTTGAAAGATTGAAAGATTTAATGAACACGTTCATTTATTCATAACAAAAGAAAATTTTTATTTGTATTCAAATTTTTACCATAAAAAGAAGTAAGAAGCAAGAAAAACAAGTAGTAATAGATTTATATGAATACATATTTCAGTTGAACCTTCCTCTGAAAGCAGGACTGATGCATTTGAACTTACCCACAAAGGAGTCCCAAATGCATTTGAAACAAAATCAAAAGTAGTATGCAGAAATAGGAAAGAGAAATTTTCAAGTTACATGGTAAAAAACAAGAAATACAGCATATTTTTCCAGAAGATAAAAAGAAGGGATGGGATGGGGATATTCAGATTTTTTTTTTGAAAAGAGGGGATATTCAGATTTTAGCTTTAATCATGCCACAACTGAATATATACTTACAATAATGCATGCATTATACACATTCTTTCTTCTAAGAACATCAGCTTTAATAAAAAAAAAAGAAAAAGTTAAATTCCCAAAATAATGAAGATTAAATTAATGTAATAGTACATAATTGTTGATTCCTTTAACATTTTATCACACAAAAGAAACTAAAAAATCCAAAAGCTGATGACAAGTGAAACATAGAAGCCATGGGGGCCACCATGTATTATATCTAAGAACAAGTGTGCCCCAGGTTCCCATGTCAATCAACTTGTTTTTGTCTTTCTTTTTATAAATTTTTTTTTAAACCCTTTTCCTTGTGCCGTCCTACCCCTTCACGCCATCGTTTAGCCGCGTTTTCTGGCTTTCCTCATTCGAGAGAAAACCTTCCGTTGTCATTTAATTGAGGTTTTTTTTTTGCCCTTTTCGAAGTTTGAACTGATAATATATGGCAAGTGCTGCTAAAGCAAGTCCTGCATGTATTTGCAGTTCATGTCGAAGTAATAAACCGAGTTTCTGCAGTTTTATAAGCTTCCAGAGGAGTTGGTTTAATGATGGTTTGAGAGGAATGGCGAGGATGGAGTTGAAAAAATCGGTGGTGAAGGGGTATGAGTGGAACAGGGAAGTGGAAATCAATGGCTGCTGCGGGAAGTTCTATGATATTTCGGAGGAAGATTTGAGGTTTGTGGAAGTGTTCAGGGAAGCCCAGTCTTACGCTTCTTTGCATCGAGGAAACACATTTGTCGTGCTGTTGTCAGGGGAAATCGTCGCCAGTCCGTATCTGGATACCATACTCAAGGTCTCCTTCTCAATCTTCTCCCTATTTTCCTCCTCTTGCTTCATAAGCTGAAAATTTAGCTGAGAAGATTAAATCACATGAATGAATTTAATCTAAAAACAGAAAAACCCTATTTATGATCCGAAAACCAAATGGAAAATTGTTTGTTTCTCAGTTGTAAATCATGTTGTTTAATCAGCTAACTATAAATAACTGCAGCTAAATAACAGGGGAAAATTTTAAGCCATGGGTGATCATTGAAACTAAACAAGATAAAGAAAAGTTGAGCAGTGTTTATTTATTTATTTTTAAACATAGGACTTCGGTTAGGGGCAGAGAATCACAACAAACCAATTTCGATAGAAGCAGATTGAAGCTGACGTCCCTTGTCTTACCCTTTTGTAATGAGATAAATGATACATCCAAGTCGTAATAATTCAATGGTAGAACACCATTAAACAGTCTCACGGTGGATCGATATCAAATTGTCGATATACGGTGGATTGGTGTCGGGCCTTGAGATAGGAATAAGTCGTGGAAATGAGTAAGCAATGAGAGAGGAAAGGAAGAAAAAATTAGACAGTGTATGTGATTTTGTGGTGTCCCTTTAACGAATGTTTTGATGTTATTTTTTTTTATAGATATTTTGTTAACTTTTCGTGGTTGACAAGGTTAATTTTTGTTCTTTCATTTTTATTTTTATTTTTTGCCTTCTATTAGATATGAAAATTTCTGTTTTGTAATATCAAAATCTAATTTAGGAAACTAAAAATATGTCAGAACTATTATTTCCGAGACTTACCAACCAAAAAATTTAAAAATGTTAAAGTTAATTCAAAAGGGGAAGTACTCATAATATGGCTGCTTTTTTTTTTCTTGCCAAGAGAAAGAAATCCATATTATTTTCAAAAGTAAACTAAAAAATAATTTTTAAAATATTTAAAAAATTAATTTTTTATTACATACAAATAATTTATTATAGTTTTATTTAAATTAAATAATTTTTTATAATTAATAATTAATTAAAATATTATTTATTATTTATTTCACATAATATTAATTTGATATATTAATACTGTGATAAACAATGACGTGATATGTTTGAGATTGAAAATGCTATAAAAAAAATAAAGAAGAAAAATGATGTTTGGTCTCCTAAAGATAGTTTCACTACCAAATCCATTGAAGTCTATTCAAACCTCCTCCTACCCGTATCACATTTTTATGTTACAAAATCATAAAAAAGTGAAAAAATAAATTGTCAGCAATTATATATATATAAAAAACTACGTATTTCATATATTTCTTTTTTATTAGCAATAACACAAAATTACAAAAAAAAAAATCTAACGTCAGACTGGGACCCACGTTTCCATTTACTGACAACAGTTCAGCGTGGCGGCTTCTCCTTTGATCCATCTTCGTCGTCCGCAGCCACGCTTCAGAATCAGCAATTCATTTTTCCCTTTAAAGAAAAAACAAAAAACAAGTGGCAGGTTTAGTCAGTAGCGGCTTCCACGCGCTAAACGAACTTCTGGGGGCCGCCACGATGGCCGCTTCATGTTCAACGGCTCGCGTCTCTCTCTTCTCTCCCGCTCGAACCAAACTCTTTTCCTCCCGCCACGGCTTCAAAAAGGACGTCGTAAAGCTAAAACCCTACTTGAAGTGGCGGGCTCAGTCTCTTAAACCGGAACCCGGGGCCAAGCGAGGTGATTCTGTAAAGCGCAATGTGATTAACGAGGAAGATAGCGTGGAGGAGACTTACAACTCCGTCGACGATAAGCAGTTCGTACGGTGGTTCCGCGAGGCTTGGCCTTACCTCTGGGCCCATCGTGGCAGCACTTTCGTTGTTATTATTTCCGGCGAAATCGTCGCTTCCCCCTTTTTGGACGCCATTTTAAAGGCAAAAACAAAATAAATAAATAAAAATTTGAAACTTCTCGTTTTTTATTCAAGGTTTTGAATTCTTTTTTTTTTAATTTTCAGGATATTGCGTTTTTGCATCACCTAGGAATCAGATTTGTTATTGTTCCAGGAACTCACGTGCAGATCGACAAGCTTTTGGCCGTGAGAGGTGAGCCAAAATGATATGTCTTGTTTTCTTTTATTTCACTTTGTTTCCTGTTGAAAATGATCATAGAAATATGTTTCATACTTTAGTTTTATAATAATATCTTGTAGTATTATTTGTCTCAGTAATTGTAATACTAGCAATTTTGAAGCTTTGGCCAAATTTAGAAATATCTTTTCTGTCTAATTTTAGCATGTGTTTTGGTTGAATAATTCAGTTTTATCTCACTTTAACCATGATTAACTTGTTTATGTTTACATTAAATAGATTAGTAGTAGTTAAAATGAGCTATGGAATTTGCAGACCATGAACCAAAGTATGTAGGCAGATATAGAATTACAGACTCAGAATCTCTAGCTGCAGCAATGGAAGCGGCGGGAGGGATTCGTCTAATGATAGAGGCAAAACTTTCTCCTGGACCTTCCATATGTAATATCCGCCGACATGGTGATAGTAGCCGTTGGCATGACGTTGGTGTCAGCGTTGCTAGCGGAAACTTCCTTGCAGCTAAGGTCAGAACGTTTCTATTTTCAAAATAACATTTAGATTTAGTTTATGCCTTTATGTGCATGATATTCTCCTCATTGAGAGTATGACTATACCCTTGTAAATTGACTTGTGGGATTATATTTCTTCTTCCCTTTTATGCATATGTACATATAGAGTGATGCATGGTGCATGAAAGCATGTTTGTGGTTTGTGTTCTGCTGTTAGACTTCTTATATTTTTGCCTCTGTGAATCTTGTTGAACCCTTTTGCAGAAAAGAGGAGTTGTTGAAGGTGTTGATTATGGAGCAACAGGTGAAGTAAAGAAGGTAGATGTTGCTCGCATGCGTGAGAGGCTTGACGGTGGTTGTATAGTAATATTAAGCAACCTGGGGTATTCTAGCTCTGGAGAAGTTTTGAATTGCAAGTATGCTGTATAACTTTTAATGGTATTTGGTTGCAGCTTGCTCTATCTATGATCCAATGAAGTGAAATTTCTGATTAATTTTTATGTGAAGCTGTTAAATTTTTGTACCTTTCCTTTATCACTCTAAAGCAGCTGTTGGGGGGAAAAAAAAATCATATTTTGCAATTTTATTTAACAGTAGCTATTATTTATTAGGCAGGTCATCAACATTGAGAAAAGCTACCTTTTTCCCTTTTTTTATTTATGTCTTCATTTAATTTTGTCTAAGCTGCTACTGGTCTTTCTCATATACAGAGGGGTCATTTAGTCTGGTGTTCCAATAGGTGCCTTTGTAGGATTAGCAAGATGTCAATCATAAGGATTTAGCGGAAAGGGAACCCAAACCTGGAAGATACTGTCTCTTGTGGGGTTGAATATACTTTGTATATGTAGCAATAGGAAAAAAATTTGATAAATTCTCCAGCATGAGCATTCCTTGTATTGGTTGCATATGCGTTTTGACTTCTTAAGCTAGTTTGAAATCAACTAAAGCATATGTTTTCTTTAGTGTACTAGCCAAGAAAAGTTTGCTTTACTTCCCAAATTACTATTTTGCAATGATTTAAACCTGATTGCTAATGCTTTATGTTTTCCTAAATTTCAGCACATATGAAGTAGCTACTGCTTGTGCATTAGCTATTGGAGCAGATAAGCTGATTTGCATTATAGATGGTCCAATTTTGGATGAGAATGGACGCCTTATTAATTTCTTGCCTCTTCAAGAAGCAGATATGTTAATCCGTCAACGGGCTAAGCAAAGTGAGACAGCAGCTAAATATGTGAAAGCTGTTGGTGAAGAAGATGTCACTTGCCTTGGACATTATGATTCTATTGCAGTTGTCCCCTCTTCACAGAATGGGAAGGCTCTTAATAGTACACACAATCCAACCTTTCAGAATGGTGTTGGTTTTGATAATGGCAATGGACTATGGTCTGGAGATCAGGGCTTTGCTATTGGAGGTCAGGAGCGGCTAAGTCGACTAAATGGCTACCTTTCAGAGTTGGCTGCTGCAGCTTTTGTCTGCAGAGTAAGTTCTGATTGTTGTCTGTCAGCTTAGTAAATATAGATGCTCTCCTGCAGAAAAACGATTGCTTTGCCAAGGAAAAACAATATGCCAATTGTATTTTCTGCTTCATTATCAGGGTGGTGTCCAAAGAGTTCATTTGTTAGATGGCACTATTGGTGGGGTCTTATTATTGGAACTGTTCAAAAGAGATGGAATGGGGACAATGGTGGCCAGGTATTTACTCTTTGCAGTGACTGTTGTATAAATAACTTCATTTCCAGGCTTTATCTACAATTTTTAAATGTCTGTTGTTAGTTAACCTTATGCAAAAGGCATTATGTCCCAGATGTAGTTAATTCCCTATGCATCTGAATTTGCTTTGTGAGTTCTCAATCTTTGCATAATTCAGATGTTTTAGTGGGTTCTGCCACTCTGGTGGAGGGTTAAACCTCAAATGGTTGTTATATGCAGCTAAGAATAAGTTTTCAGTTGAGTTCCACATACATATTTTTAGAATTTACTGGTGCTTCAGAGGACTTTCTAGTATTATCGTACTTCCTTTTTCTAACTAACATTGTTTTCAGAAGTATGTGATATTTCTGAGTTGGTTGCTGGGTCATGTGTAAATCACTAATTAGTTTCATAACATTTGACAGCAGACAAACTGGGCAGATATGTTGCTCTAATGTCCTTTTTCTAATGGTTAGGGATCTGAAAAGTAACCTCATGTAGTTGATAGTTGTTAGTCTATATTATATGCTGTTGAGAGATTTAGTAAGCAACGTTAAGCTGTCTTGGATCAATTCTGACTTGGGTGTTGCTTGTTATTTAGTGATCTATATGAAGGGACCCGGATGGCTAAGGTGACGGATCTCGCAGGTATCAAGCAACTCATACAACCTTTAGAACAGTCTGGCACATTGGTGCGCAGGAGTGATGAGGAGGTGAGTGCTGCTCTTTTAGACTTTTGTTTGACCAATTTAGCTATTTCAATGATGTGCTTGTTGTTGGAATAAAAGTAAAAGTTTGGTCATACTTTGGAGCTTTATTTGATTATTTCTTCTACTGGATCTTGGGTGCTTTGGTTATAAAGATCAAATTTATTAAAATTAGCCTTTGTTTCAAGTGTCACCAAACAAACAAAATTGAAGGGGAAAAAGTGCCATTATTTTATTGAGTTGGAGCAGTATCTGAAAATTAAATTCCTGTGACTTTTTGTTTTCACAGCTACGTAAGGCCATAGATTCATTTGTTGTAATGGAAAGGGAAGGTCAAATCGTTGCTTGCGCTGCTCTTTTTCCTTTTTACAAGGACAAGTGTGGGGAAGTTGCTTGTATTGCAGTTTCTCCTGAATGCCGAGGACAAGGACAGGGAGACAAATTACTTGGTATGATGTTGAACATCTCTAACTTCACTGCTTATGCCATATGGGACATGATCATACTTTCTTACTTACTATGGTGGAGCTGAAAGAGATGCAATATGAGAGCTTGTCAATTCTCATCTTATGGAAGCATCTTTAGGAATTTGAAAATTAATAGCATAGAAATGCACACTCCAACAGAGCACCTTTTTTGGCAGCCAGCTTACATATGCTGAAATTTGCTGATAGGTTCAGCAAACTGTTCCAACAATTCAAGCATTGAATGATGCTGGTTTGCATGGTTGTTACCCCTGATTGTTATTTAGAGTCTAGCAAGCTCTGATTGTGATTTCCATTTTTATGAGCATCACTTTGATGTGATATTACTACAGGATATTTGTTTGTGGTTTTTTGTTTGTAAATGCACCATATCATTCCTGATGACTATTGTCACTTCTTGATTTCAATCAAATTTCTGCAGATTACATAGAGAAGAAGGCATCATCCCTTGGATTGGATATGCTTTTCCTGCTGACAACCCGTACTGCTGATTGGTTTGTATTTTTTTCTCCCACTACTTATGTTATGAAATATACATTATTGCAAGCATGCAATCATTTCCATGCACCATTTAATGGTAAATTGGAAGTAACTTATTAGTTAATATGGTATCTTAGAGAGAGAGAGAGAGAGTTTCGTTATGTTGGAATATTCCCCTTTCAATTTATGGTTGTTATGTCCAAGTTATGGTATATAAAACTGTCACTGTTGATCAGTAGAAACTAAGCACTCACTCATGGTTTTACAGGTTTGTTAGGCGTGGCTTCAAAGAATGTACCATTGACATGATACCAGATGAAAGGAGGAAAAAGATCAATCTATCTCGTAAATCCAAGTATTACATGAAGAAGTTGCTACCGGATCGAAGTGGAATTACTGCTGATAGAGCATTTAAATGAGGTTTCCACACAGAAAAGTGCTCTGCTAGCCACTGCTAACCAAGGCTGCAAAGAGGACAACCTCACCATTTTGTTGGCTAGAGAATCATTTGTAGTAAATTACTACATAATTGATCAAGGCATGATCTGATTGTCTCCGCATCAGGTTTCTGTCACGAGTTCTAATTGATTGTAGCCATAAAGTTTGTTGTATACTTAACTAGTTACATAATTTGTACGGACCTTGTCAGTAGCACAGAGCGATAGAAAATGGAAAATAAATTCGCATTTCTTCTTTGGTTCGTTTGAAGCTCTGAAGATCAATGTTGAGTCACATCCCAAAGCGTTGCAACATTTGCCATTTGTACTTCATAATTATCATTTTTATCACCCTGTATTTAACTTGGAATTATTGTACATGGAGTAGTGTCTGAATTCATGAGATTTACACTTCACACCAGTCGAATTAGGATCATTATGTGTAATATTTCATTCTTCTCTTAGTCCTTCGCACAAGGAGGTGCCATCTTTACCCTCCTATCCTTGTTAAGCAAAGAATACATATACAAAACATTTGCTTTGGTTTATTTTTCCACCCATTAATCTGAATCTAAACCAAATAGGTGCACATTCGTAAATGATACTTGATTCAATCTTACTGGTTTATGCTGAAGATTGAACATTTGGGGGTCTTGTTGTCAAGTTAATATTAGTGTTATGCTTCCCAAGTTATTGGTTTAGGAATAGACTGCCCTTGGCTATAAGTTGGAGTCAAACTCGTGGACCTGTTCAACCAACCTAAACAGCTGTTGGCCTAGGAAATACACCATAAAGACGATCAGTAACTTTATTGTTCGCCTAATAAGAGTAGAGGGGAAAGTTGTGAATAAGGAAATGGAGGTTTTGACAAACAAGTATTATATCCAAACTGTATCATAAATGAATCAAAGAGAAAGTGGGGAAAAAGGTACACCCATCTCACCTGCTGATCTATCACGTTTATTTTGATCAAATTGTCACAAAAGATACAGCAGAAAATGTGCAACCATGATAACCTGAGTCTCAGTTGCATAACTTGAATTATGGGAGAATAAAGCAACAGGATCAGCAAGATAATGGAATCAGTCTTCAGATATAACAGGTCCCTTCCATTTGAAGTTATCTGCATATGACTTAACCTGCAACCACATATTCACATAATAAGATGTACTACCATGGATATCATGACTTGACTAGATAATGAATAGTATGGAGACTACATAGTTTATAGTCCTTTAACTATGTATAGGATCATAACTATAGATTTTACAACTAACTAAATCCGTCTGCTTATATGCCAAGAGCATATTACATATGATAGTGGAGAAGTAGCTTGACTATTACATTAGAGGTAATGTTTGAACATATTGTATGTAATGTCCATACTTCGGAATTTTTTGGACACACTAGCAGCATAGACAATCATCATATACAGTAACCCTGTCCTAGATGTCTCAACGAAAATAAGAGCTTGTCCTTTCTGCTGCTATCAAGTGCTGTAACTTCTCTCTCTCTCTCCCTCTCAAATAAGTAACTTCAACTTGTCAAATGTCGGCTTTTAGAACATAGCATCTTTTAGATGATTTCAATGTTGCTAGAGGGCTACTAAGAACTACAATGTCTAGCACAGGCCATCAGAAAATCTTCTCAATCACTCGTCAAATTAGCATTTGAAAATATAACAACAGAAATTCCTACGATTCCAAAGAAAATGTCTAGTCAAGGATCAAGAGTATGCAGGCAGTTATCCTATATTACTAAGCATGAAAAGTTGAAAACCAATGACACACTAGTTTGTTTTGCTCGGTAGCCTTTAGAATCTTGAGTTGCTTTTTGTTCTTATGCCTAGCTAAAAGAATTAACCTGATTCTAAATTAAGTAAACACAACTTCATTCCCAACATGCTCCTATATAACCTCATGTGAGAGAATAAGAATAGTGGCAAAAAAACGTGTCACAAACCTTCAGCAGTGGTGTCTGGCGTTTTTTAACCTGTAGGAAAGTTCAAGATGCACCACCAATTAGCGTCTCAAGAGAGAAAAACATTTTTGAAACAAAATAATCAAGTGAACATGCCATCTAACAACAGGGATATAATATCTGTTCAAAGCAATACTTCTAATCTAGCACATAATCTAAGAATCATTCAGACTAAAAAAGAACCGAACGTCATCAAAGTTTGTTATTTTAAAGCCAAAACAAGAGATGGGATAATACTCTGCGAATACAGTTTGATACTTTAGTCCGATAATCAAACTTAAAATGTGAAAAAAAAAAGGATAGAGAATACATACCACATAGTCCCACCCATGTCTCTCAGCAAAAGACTTTGCAGCTTCTTCACTATCAAAACTAAGTGCAGCATCACCAACATTGGCATAAGGGTCCCCTGTGGATGTCCAACCCATCAACGGGTTCTCCCACCTAAACCATTCAATTCAGTGACAAGAAACTATTGATTATGTACATCATGGCCAAGAAGAAGACCCTAATTCAGGACAGCACCAAGAATTTGGCGTTGTGGCTAAGTTCAAGAAAGCAAGTTTTTAACCAATGAATACACAACCCAACAAACACCAAACAGAACTTTGATACAAATAGAAACTATACTCACTAAAAATTCAATCTTCAAAGAAATGTATGGAACAGTTAAAAACCATGGGGACAATTTCGGTTCCATGCCATCAAAGACAGATAATTGAAGATTAGGAATAGCTTAAATTTATCATTTTCAATTTCTACTACCTATAGCATCAGAAGTTAGAAATTGCTTAGGATCAGATTCAGCTAAAGAGTAATACTCCAACCGTGAAATGACATACTCACACACACACCAGAAAAAGAAATTTTAGTTTCTACAACTAAAAACGATAAGGAAAAATCAGATTAAAAAAAAAAAAAGTACTTTTGTGTTGACATAAAGTTGATCTTCCATTTTCCAAGTTTCCCAGATCCTTGTTGAGTTGCAGTTCTTGCAGGCGAGTATATCACAACCTACGACCAATGTTAAAAAAAAAACACGCGCCCTAATTATTCTCTCTTTCCATTTTCTTCCAAAATTAGAGGAAAAATGCGATCGATTAATCAATGCCCCAATTAATTAAAACCTCAATAAAAATTTGAAATTTACCCTCCTACGAAGATGTTCTTCCGGGATGCCGGAAACCATGCCGACCTCGCTTGGCTTGACCTCCACCAATGCATCTGAAGAGAACCTCCTCGAGAAAGAGCCCAGCACGGTTCGAACCGCTCGAGCTTGGCTCGTTAATTTTTGCACAGTGTTCACGGCGGCCATCGTCTTCCTCAGAATCTATGTGCTTTTTGGGTGCTCTTTTTTTTTTCCTGGCCCTGTAAATGAAAAATAACCTCTTCGTTTCAGCTTAGGAATTTCTTATAAAAAAAAAAGTACATTAATAAAACATATTTGTAGGTAATTATAGTTTGAACCTCTCTTATTTCTGTATTTATGAAATTGGCCCCAATCTTTTTCTTTTTCTTACAGAATCCCTTAGTAGTAGTAGTAGTTGTTGATATGATGGGCTATTTTTATCCTGCAAATTTCGCTTTTATTAAATGCAATAATGATTTGAGGAAGCAATTTCAACCACCGCTTGCAAAGTTAGTTCATGGGCCAAATAAAGAGTACTCGATAATTATTCCTCTAATTCTATTATGACAACTAATAAACTAGTTGGCACATAACACTTTACTAATCAATTTAATTTTCTAAATTTTGTACTATTCCAAATCTAAACGTTGATGCTTTATAAGTAGTATTAGTTTATTTTCCTTCAAGTTCAAGTGAACATATTCAATTTAAATTTTCGATTCAAGCTAATTATAAAGTTTTAAAAACTCAAAATTCAGTTGAAATTCTAAATTTCTAATCAAGTTTTATTGTTTATGCTTGATGTTTACAAAATTTTTATTCGACCACGACCCACTTAATCCCCTTTGAGTAAATTTTAAATAGTGAATTCAAATTCAACCTGAGATTAAGTTCCATACTTAAATGAAAATTGTAAAAATCATTAATTTTAGTTATATAAATATGATAAAACTATAATAGATGAAATTTCTAAATCAGTTGATTTTAGTCTTAGTTAGAATGTTTAGAAAAGCTGAAGGGGTTACAAGTAATTTTGAAAATTGTACGACAAGTTTCCATCATCCGTGCATCCAGGTCCTGTTATAAAGTAATGGTGCAATAGATTTCAGAAGCCAAATAACCCATAGATATACAAGCTATAGTGAAAAGGAAAATTTCCATATTTCCATTTTAATATTCTTATGGACAAAAAAGCAAGCCTCCCCTACATGTTTTTCACTCTCCCACTTTGCAATCCTTTGTTTTGTAAGAAATAATTTCTGATAAATATTCCGATGCTCCGCGCGTGAATTCTCTTTCTCATCTCGCGCGTTTCTCCGATCAGGTACTCCGATTGTTTTTTTTTTTTTGGTTTGGGATTTTCTAGATAAATCGGTCCTTGATAAATTTCATCAAAGTCTGAGCTTTGGATGAAAATGCATTAATTTGCTTTATTTTTTTTGCTTCATCTTTGTTCATATTGTTTTTTAGAGGAGAAAAAGATATTATGAACTTAAATGGATTTGAATATGAATTTTCATACAATTGTTCTTTTAAGAATATGATTTTGATTGTAGTTTTAGAGGAAATTAAGGATTCATAATTGTAGTTATATTCCCTATCTGTGATTACCTGTTGTGATGGATTGAGTATAAATATTGTGTTATTTGAGTCGAGAGAAGTTGAAAGTTAAGAGTTTTGTGTTTTAAGAGCGCGTTTGGGTTTGTAAAACTTTGTCTAAATTTCTGAAACTTAATTGCATTAAGAAAATTTTTCTGTTTTTGTTTCTGGTTTTCATCATTTTGGAATGTTGCTTTGTGAAGTTTCTCATTTTGCACTTTTGGAATTTTACAATGGTAGAGAAATTGGAGCCTGGGTCAATTTATTGGAAAATGCGACGAAAATCTGTCCGTGAATGTATAATTGTTGTGTTAATGTGATTATGGGCCTTTCAAAAGGTTTCATCCATTGTCAGCACCTATTTCTTGTTCAATTATAATGCTTTTTGTTGGTTGTGGATAGGCGCAGTTAAGCAATATTAGTGTTTGATCTTTTCAAATTTCAGTTGTTTAGGATTTCTTGTATTGGGGGGTTTCAGGAATTTGTTGATGGGTGCCCCTAAGCAGAAATGGACAGCAGAAGAAGAAGCTGCCCTCAAGGCAGGAGTTCTGAAGCATGGCACTGGCAAATGGCGCAATATACTTTCAGATCCTGAGTTTAGTTCTGTCTTACGCTCACGCTCAAATGTGGACCTCAAGGTATGTAGCTGAAACTCAATTAGGATTCACCAATCATTATCTAAAGGATGCACTTTAATATTTTTTGGTTTAATGGCCAGAGATTGCTGTGTCTTGATAGTGCCTTTATTAACTGCATCCTAAACTATTGAAGCAAGCTTTATGCTTATTTTGGTAGCCGATGTTCTGTCATGTCAGGCATAGCGGTGATTTAATATGTATTATCTTAATGTGACCAGGATAAATGGAGAAATATAAATGCAACAGCCATTTGGGGTTCAAGGCAGAAAGCCAAGCTTGCTCTTAAAAGAAATCAGTTGAATGCTAAACATGATGATAACCACGCAGCTGTAATTACTGTACCTCCAAGTGAAGAAGTTGTTGATGCTAAGTCCCTTGCAATTTCTAGTGGAACGCCAAGGGCAACTGGTCTAAAAAAGCCAATGTCAAGGTTATTTATCACATCTATATTATCATATTGAACTTTTAGTTGAACACGTGTATGTGAGTGACCAGATATTAAAACATGAAAAGATGCAGAAAGCAAGAGTTATTTCCAAGACTGACATATTCCATACTGGCTGTTGAAAATGCACATAGTTAGTGCCCTGGGGCTGCATATCACTTTTTAATTTATGAAACCAAAATTCTCCAACCTCACAGTCATTGTAGGCCAAAACAATCTTGCGTTGAGAACTGTGCTATGCAGATTTTCTATGGGTGTTGACTGCTGCGTCAGTAATATCCTCTCCATGGTTGTAGGTTGGATAATATTTTATTAGAGGCCATCACCAGTTTGAAAGAGCCAGGTGGTTCTGACAGAGCTTCAATTGCTGTATACATAGAGGTATTTCTTTCTTGCGTCAGTCACAAATTCTAAATATTTGCAGAAAAAACACCCCGGTAATTAAACTGCTGACGGCTTTTTTTTCTTCTAACGGTTATATATGGCAACAAATTTTCTTCTATCTCATACTCGAGTAGGAGTGGAACTTAGGGATTCTCTTTCTTCTAATTTGTTGGCCAATTTCTAGTCTTTAAACCTCAAGCTCAGTTCTGAAAATATTTGAATGACTTCCCTAAAGCATCTAAACATCTAAACTAATTTTGAGTTTCTTTTATTTTTGACATTCTAGGAGAAATATGCTGCTCCACCAAACCTCAAGAAGCTGTTGGCAACGAAATTAAAGCTGTTGGTGGCAAATGGGACATTGATAAAGGTAATCATACTAATTATGGTGGAACATTACCGTAGAATATTTTTATCTTCCTTGTATGTGTAAATTATTTATCCTATGAAGAGCTTGCATGCCAGAAAAGTAAAATTCAATATATAGTGTTCCAGGGTTATAGAAAAGGTCCTTAATGTTTGACAGAAATGCTTAGGTGATTCTTTTATGCCATTGATGTTTGATAAAATGATATTAAGGTAACATATATGACACTTGCACTCAATTTATTGGATTTAAAGAAAGACAGCCATGAAGGGTTGCATCGTATTTGCATAAGAGATTCAACAGCATTGATATTTTTCTTCCTCATGAATTGCATGAAATTTTGATGTTTGTTTTTCTGATATGCATAAGTGGAAAGTTATTGGCACATCTTCTCATAAAGGGAAAATTTGTTTCTAAATAAGATTATGTTGAATGTTTATAAGTTGGGATTGATTCATCTTTCTAATGTATATGTTGATAGATAAAGCACAAGTACAGGATTGCACCACGGTCAACTGTCTCTGAAGCAAGAAGATCTCCTCTGCTTCTTTTGGAAGGAAGGCAGAAAGATTCTTCAAAATGGGACAAGAAGGGCATCAACATTCTTACTAAATCCCAAGTTGATGCAGAGTTGTCAAAAATGAGGAGCATGACTGCAGAAGAGGCTGCTGCAGCTGCTGCACGAGCAGTTGCAGAGGCAGAAGTTGCAATTGCAGAGGCTGAAGAGGCAGCAAGAGAGGCAGAGGCAGCAGAAGCTGAAGCAGAAGCTGCAAAAATTTTTGCCAAAGCGGCAGAGAAGGCATTGAAGGCTAGGATGCTAGATACCTGGTAAATCCTCTTTAATCAGTTGTTCCATACATATTCTTCCTATTGTACAATGTTTATAGATCTGAAAACACAGGTCTTCTCAGAGGACGATTGTGTTGGTTGTTTAGGAGGCTCAGATCTTAACCAAGAGCACATCTTGTCATAGTCACTGATAAGCTCTGCCAATCAACAAAACTTCTTTGCAACAACTCGAGATCACTTTGAACGAATTTTATTTTACTTATTTCTGTGAGCCTACTTCAACCCTATTCTCCACAGTCGAAAAGTTTCTGAAACTAAGATTTAGGAAGGATAGCTAATTGTTTTCTGTAGGGTATTCTTTGACTTCTTTGAACTCAAGAGGTTCGATAGTATTTCACATATGTGCCAATCACAAATCAGGTCGTTACTTTTACTTGAGGTCATCAATCTTTTCCTCCTGATAGATGATAGTCTTTTCCTGTTGATTTTGAGACAAATTATATCCAATAAATAGTGACATGGAGTGGCCAGACATTTTTGACGTCCATCGCTATCATTTTTTCGAAACTACACTGTATTACTTGTTTTCTTTTGTGGATTTTGTTTTCAGACTCAAACAATAGAGCTCTTGATTACAATATCTTGTGATTTACAAGACTACCTGTATTATGTGTTTCTATTTGTGTTTATCTTATTGATAACAGTTGCAAATTTGTGCAGATGGCGTAAGTGGATACCTACCATATGGTCTTATATTGCTGCTGGAACCATGCATCAGACTTGACATCATGTGGCCTGGTATATAAACTGCGATCATGTCTATAACTGTAAATTTATTAGGCTTGTAAAGAAAGAAATGTGAGATTAATCCATGAAGTTCTGCATCTTTTCGAACAAACATTTAGTGAGGAGCTTAGAGGTTTTTGTTATTCTATAGCTTTACCATGAAGTAAATGAAGGGTACAGATATAGCAAAAGAAATAGAAATAGGTATTCACGATGTCATGCTTGAGATATCATCTCTCTTTTTGGAAAGTCGATCTGAATACGATTAAACTTGCAATTTTGCTAGTGGATGTTCAAGCATTTGTAGTGTTATTGTGTTGGCTAATAGCCATTTCGGAACTCTTTCTGTGTGTTGGGTGGGCAGTTGGGGTTTCAAGCTAGTTATATTTCTGCAGCTGCATCATTTTTTGTTTTCTGTTAAAAATGATAAACTAGCACAAAATTGTGTTACTATATAGCTTGCAGGGAAGTGTGAAGGTCCATGCTTTTGATTGATTTAGGACTTCAGGAGTGAAGCTGATCATTTCTAGGAGCAGATCTAGGTCCGATCAGCTATACTGATTGATTGGCTGGATGCCTGTTCCTGCAGTATGCAAATAACTATATTACCATAAAGCCCCCGGGTCCTGGTTAGGTATACAGAAACAACAATGTTTTCGCTCCAAAAAAGTGGCAGGGAAAAGAAAAATCTCAGACCCTTCCTATTTCCTTCACTGCGGATTGATCAAGCTGCCAACCTAGCGCAAGCTGGGTTGACTTAAACTTTCCAAACCATAAGCCTTTTTCACGTTTTGCACTGCCTTAAAAAATGCCAACAGTACAAAACTATATTAGGAGGTAGATTTCAAAATCACTTTTTACTTTGTTCATCACTCGGAATTTAGGAAGGAATTTTACCTTATTGAACATAGCAGCAATGAAGTGCAACAGTTGATCTATGCTTTGATCACAACAAGCTAGCATAAACTTTTACCTAAACACTTGACTTGTTGGCATAGGACAGAGCATTATTAAAACCATAAGAGGCCACAAAACTCACGTTTGACACTTGCTAACCTTTTCCCAATGACAATTAACTCAACAACACAGGACTTCCAAAAATATGTTATGGAGACGACTGTCCTACTCTCCCGCAGATTGCTAGAACATCTGTTAAATAAGGCTGCAATAAACACTCATATACACAAGGTTGTACTACCCAGACCTTCCCAAAAACTTGAAATATTACCTTGATTAGTTCAAAGTATCATTTATATGGCTTTGAATTTGCAGGCTCTCCAGGGTGGACTTTTACAGATGCCGGCAATACATGTAGGATGATGACGATAAAAGCATAAAAATAACTACTTTCAAGGGCTAAGACCAGGTCTTCCACTTGAGCGTCACAACCCTCCATACTCACTAACCAACTAACAAAATTTTTTTGCTTTTTTTGCAGGATCATTTACAATATATACCAGAGATTCTCACTTGGAAACAGAAAATATAGATAACCAGTACAACAAAGTTCCAAAAGATAAAAGAATATACAGATGCTATGCTATCCGGTAACTCCATGTTTCAGGTGTAGGTAGTGCAGTAAGACAAACAAGTTAAGAATCACAACATTGGCTAAAACAGCAGCAGCATGTCAGCTTTTATAGCAAATGTCAAAGAAATTTGGATGGAACCATATCCTAGTGTATAGCACAGTAGCTAGATAGCCTGAAACTATAAGGCAGTACTATGTATTAACCAAAATCAAGAAGACCCAGAAGCCAGATACCATTAATCTAGTTGATGCCACGCCGCAATAATCAGATTGAACAAACGATATAGATATTGCCAGTCACTTCCATCAAATTTAGCATTCTCAGGAATACTTATAAAGCAGGGCAAGTAGTAAGCTAAGCTATACCTACTAACATTAGTTCAAATGAAAGAACTTCACATCTCCAAAAAAAACCCAAAAACCAATCTTTTCAGCTTGGAAGGTTAATCCAGCCTTTTTATATCAGACTTAATTAATTTCAACAAAGTTTTTCACTTCAAATTCCAATGATAATGCCAGCTCAAAAATATCTTCAAAACTTTTTTTCTCATTTCACCAAAACAACAATTATTCTACATCATTTACTAAAAAAAAAAAAAAGAAAAACAAAATCATTCAAGTACCACAGTAGCACCCAACCCTTGAAGCTTCTTAACAATGCCATCAGCTTCCTCTTTACTGACTCCCTTTTTAACCACAACGGGAACTTTCTCCACCAAATCTTTAGCTTCCTTCAATCCCAACTCGGTAAATGCCCTCACTTCTTTTATTATCTTTATCTTCGCTGCAGCGTCGAATTTCTCCAGCTTTATATCGAACGCCGTCTTTTCTGCGGCTTTCGATTCCGCTGCGCCAGACCCGGATCCGGGTGCTGAGGGGGCTGCGGAGCTGGCGCCGGATACGGCGGGGCCATAGCGGTTGAGGCCCAGTTTGAGACGGAAGAGGATGGAGTAGTCGTAGCGTTCGAGTTTCGTAAGGTCTAAAAGCTCGTCGGCGATGCGATCGAGTCTCTGGGTACGAGTCTCTGTGGTGGCGGTGGAGTAGAAGTGAGAGATGGGTGGCTTAGGTGGGGAAGAGATGAAGAGTCTGAGGAGGGATTTGGTGGGAATTTTTGTCGTTACGGAGGACATTTTGGGAATTTAATTAGCGTGGAGCGTCGGGGTTAAAGTTTGGGGTTTTTCAATCTGGTGGAGGATCAGGGGTTTTACAGGAAGGAAGGAGATGAAGTCCTTTCGGGATTTTTAAGGAGTTGTTTCTGAAGCTTCTTGAAACGACGTAGCTTTGCAGGCTCCGTAATAATACCTTTGTTTTCCCTAAACTACGATTTTATTTATCAATATATATATATATATATATATAGGGTTTATATTTGATGCACTCACGGTATATAGATGTTATAGACTATCAGTTTACTAAATCATGTTACATCATCATGATAAATTTAAAAATTATAAAAGCTTGAAATTAAATATTAAAATATTTTTAATAATTAATAAAATAAAAAAAATATTTTTATTTCTCCTCAAACCTTTTTTTTACATTTTTAGATTTCATTATTATTCTTCCTTAACCCTACTGAAACTCTAAGAAAGAGTGAAAATTTTAGTAAGAATAGTTTTTTACTGAAAAAAATAGGAATCTAACCCTAGAATCGTATGATTATCTTTCTTGGTCAAATTGCCGTGGCCTGACTCAAATTCCACGACCGTTTCTTCCTTTTGTTGGGTTACTACTGCACATTAGGAGGCTACAAACAATGAGCATTTACCAAATAATATTGTTTCCCATATTAGTTTCAAGATTTGTTTTATATAAAATGTTGATTATGCAAATTAGTACGAGTGATTTTTTTATTTGATTTGTCTTTTAGCTTTAGAGTATTTGGGATAAAAAATCATGGCTTTATATGTTCTAGCAGTTAATTGGAAAATTAAATGCCTATATTGCAATGACGAGAGGCAATTTCATTGATGGTCTTTTGGCAATAATTGTTGATCATGGGCTACGTCCAAAGAGCAAAGATGAAGCAAAGAGGAGTTAAGAGACTAAAGAAAGGAGAAGAAAAAAGAAACTTTGAGAGGGAGTTGGAGAGAGAGAAATTTAATTGTTTTGTGCATTTTTTTTAAAAAATAATATTTAATTTAATTATATATATTAATTTTTTTAATATTTAATTTTAAATTTTTATAAATTCTGAATTTATTATTATTATAATGTGACAGTGTATAATATTTATATACTATCAATGCATCAAATATAAATTCATCTATATATATATAAATTCAAATTTAAGGCTTTAAATTGTTTTTATTTTTTTATCTTTTCAAAGCAGAAAAATACAACATCAATTATGGGAACAGTGAAAAATGATGAGTAAATTATTAATTTGGCAATTGGAACATGAAAAGTACTAAAAATGTAAAATTCAAATAGCTACTAGATGAAGGAGGGTTCATCTATTTTTCTTTGAAATGCTCGCATTCTTGTATAATACTATATATTAGATCGAAATGCAAGGCACTGATGAAAAATAATGAGCTCACTTCCCTCAAGAGTCAGCGGTCAGCCCTGCTTTTATCCATTTCACAATGAGTTATTTGCTTTGCTTCCTATATCCCTCGAGTAAATTGCAGGCTGCCCCTTAAATGAGCTTGTGTGCTAGCATTTGTGACTTCCTCTCTCGGTGCCGAAGCCCGACTCTTACCAGGACTTGAGCACTTGCCCAGATTGTCGGGTCTATTGCCCACACCTTCCTTTAAGGTAACGTGTAGGACCCTCTTCCTGGAACTCTCTCTGACTAATATTTCTGCTCTTTCTGCTTGATTCTCCGCTTTGAGGATCCTCACCTCTGGTGGCAAGCTGTTCTCCAATACCAAAGCTGAGTTCTGAGAAAACAAGGAAAATGGCAGCACTTACTTCAGGCCAAGATGGAAGGGAAAGAAAACCCCATCATTTTTGCTGCTTTCCTTCCATGATTCCAATATCTCATTTGCAGAAGGCAACTTCGATGTATGAGAATCACCATCCTCATTGATTAGCAACTCCATTTCGGCCTCGTCATCATCGATTGACAGGTCAACTACAGCCTCATCAACATCCTTGGTATACTCATCTAAATTAAACAAAGAGACCTGCTTGCCCAAACTAGTAGGCTCACCAGATGCAGTATCATTAGCAAAATCCTCCATGCACGTGAGGGTTTTAGATACACAATCATCCATATCATAATTTGATAACCTATGTATCAAATCTGCATCAACACCACCCTCTTCATTCTTTCCATTGCAAGTAGCAGAAAACACAGCAAATGATACATCAGTTGCTTTTAGAGCAGGATCCATGGCAGCTATAATTTTTTCACCCCTCATATCCCCAGAAATACTTTGAATATTTAATCTCTCACTACCATAAGTTTCCCCATTGTTACTGTTTGGTTCTGATTTGGCAGATCCACAGAGATATTGCAAGGATCTTATCAAGTTTGAGGCTGTGATTTCGGATGATAATTCACAATTGGAGAGTGCATCCAACAGTTTTGATAAGCTACCATGACTAATCCTGTCTCCATTTTCCTCAAAAGCCTCAGTCCACTGGTTTTCACTGACTTGAAATGGAGCATGAGCCATGGTGTTGACCAGGGTGACAACCTTCTCATAATTACTTTGAGCAGTAGCTTGAATTATCATCTCAGTGAATAACAGACAATGAGGAATCTCTCCAACTTCCAAAAAGGTGTCAAATGCATGATCTAATAGATGCCACTGCACATAGCAAAGCAGGATAATTACTTAATTTATCCACCTTTCATTCTGTTCAATAGCAACTTTGAGTAACATGAATTAATGGCATTCTCTAAAAGTGTTGTCAAATCCACGATAATGGCTATTCAACACAAAAGAACCTAAAACATCAGATTTTCTGGTCCCATAAGGAATTAACAGCTTCAGAAATAACACCGAAGGATTCAACAAATTAACACCTTTAGAAAGTTCAAATAAAAAGATGGATATAGCTTACCTTCCCAGCTCTGGATGCTTCTACAAGTAGAATTGCATGTTTAGTTTGATCTAGGTGATATCCAGAGAGAGTCATCTCCTTGTAGACATACTCAAAATATTCCCATTGGAGTGCACCGGCAGATGCCCCCAGCATTAAGCTATACGTGTACCCATCTGGGATAAGGTTAGTAGACTTGCCATTCAGGGAATCATAAGGACCAGATTTGGCTTTGTTGATTTCTTCAAACAACTCTTTGGCTTTAGAAAACATATCATTCTGGCCATACACTTTAAGCATTGCATTTAAGGTTCCTATGTTGGGTGCACAATGGTCTTTCATATATTGAAATATGGAAATGCAATCACTAACATGTCCACCATCCAGGGAAGCCATTATCAGACCAGTAAAGGTAATCTCCAAAGGTTTCCTCTGAGAGAGATTTTTCATCTTGTCCACCTGCAGGCATAATTTAGATGAAGTTAAATTTTCCAGATCTACGGCCAGTACCAATGAAAAATAGATGCAGAGGTAGAAACACAAGAACAATAATATCTAACATGATATAATTATTATTGAACTTCTTTGGGAGCTTGCAAAATCCATCCAGCACAAAATTATCTAAAAGAGAAGGGCAGTAGAATAAAAAATCAAATGCCAGACAAGCCATTAAATTTTCCAGCTTAAATGATTCTTATTTCATATGGTTTCTCATGTCAAGCCTCTTATTATAATAATTTTTTTTTCAGCTCCTTTACTAGTGCTATAAACAATAATAACATCAAAGAAACTCTGGGCTATAGGTGCTCTTTAAGTCATTGTGGTTTGTGAAACAATCAGAAGAACAAGGGAACATCAACTCTAACAGACAAGTAGGTAAGCACGTAAAAGTTAATAATATCATAAAATGATCTCTCAATGTAGATAAAAGGGCTCTTTGTCTTAGCATGGAACTTGAAACATTAGTACGCATGATTAAATATGCCATGGTCAACAAACTCAGATCCAGACACAACCTAAGCACTCTAGAGAATCAAGTTTACCTCTATCATAGCATCTTGCCACCTCCCATTTTTGCAAAGGCAGCAGGCTAGCTCATAGTAGACACTGGCCGTTCCAATTACTCCCCTCTGTTCCATGTCCCGGACTGCTTCCACAGCTTCATTAATTTTTCCTTCCTCCCAAAAAGCTTTGACAAGAACTGGAAAGCCACAGATAAAAGCAGTATGGAGTCAGCAAAAAAAAAAAGAAAAAAACCACCTTTTGAACAGATACACAACACCAACATATGTGCTTGAAGAAGAAAATAAAACCACCTCTGTAACTAAGTGCTCTTGGACCTTCTCCACCTCTTTTCATTTTTCTAAAGAACTCGTGGACCAGATCATACTTTCCAGATTGCAGCATCACCTTTCAATAAGAACCTCCTGTAAGACTTGAATAAAAATATAACTTGGGGATAAACAATATTTGCAAGTAGACATATTTTCATTCATTTAGAGTGCTAACCATAGGTCCCTAAGATAAGAATGACAAACCAAAAACTAATATAAACCTAGGATATGTTTTAAATTACACAAAATATAGTGGCACTGAAGACAACAAAATTCCTCTACAAACATACATCAGGATTTTGCAATATCATTCAAATGTTACCCTTGAGAGGTCATCTATAAAGTTCTAGGTCTACTACTTTAAGCTTCACTAAAAATATACAAAACAACTGAAATATTGTAGAGACAATTAGACAACGCCTGCTTTAATTTAAGCAGCTATTTTGATATTATTTTGATCACTGTCTAGCATCTAAAGCTTTGAAAGCTGAGCTAATTAGCATTCTCTGAAACAATTCTAAATTGCTTTTATTTCTTGGGACCAAAATGATGCCTGATACACAGTGTTAATGTAGGTATCATAAATAATTAGTACCTCCATTGCAAGCCCATATGTTGCTCCATTAGGTCTCAGACCACTCTTTTTCAACTGTTCAAACACCCAGGAAACACCTTTCCACTGACGTAGTGGGATACAAGCATTCAGAACCTGGCAAGAATTTTGCAAGACATCAAGTAATTATATCATTATATACTGGATTCAAAGATGTCAAGTAATGTCAAAGAGAAGAAATGCTCACATACAGCATTATACACAACCAAATCGGGTTCAAGCACTGGATCCCAGTTCTTGCGGCGCATATTTTTAATTCTTTTATAAGGTTTCTGCCTCATGCGCTCGATTA